GAATGAAGATGAAAATTTTAATGTGGCTCAAACAGGGGCATGATCCGGCTTTGAGCTTTGTCCTATATAGGAATACTTTGTCTATTGAGCTATAGAGTATATAGCTGCGAAGCACGGATACTTGTAAACTCATTACGTATACATATCCAAGTTTGGATTCTCTTTGATACGTAATGGATACATTTTTTTTAATTATTTTAATTTTTAAAATTTTCAATGTGTGTTGGATACTTATTTTAATTATTTTCGATACGTATCCAATATGTTTTGATATGTATCTTTTAAATATTTTAATAACTTGTTGAATATTAATAATATTTATTGAAAATACACAATTAGTTTATCAAGAAAGTTAGAGTTCTATTTAAAAGGAGAACCTAAAATGTGGGAGATTGTCGGAGACTCATTTGATATTCTTGAAGGTGTTGAATTGCTTGAGGTTGCTTTCTATCATTAGATGAGCTAGAGTTAAAGATTGTTATTTTTAATGATAATGAAGAAGTTGATGTTAACGATGTTATAGAAAATGAAAATTGGACAACTAAGGATTAACATAAAATGTTTTAGTATTTTATTTTATTTTTGTTATTATACTTTTTTTTTTTTTTAATGAATGAAATTATATAGAATTTTATAATATGTTGTATCCGTGTATCTTAATTTTTTTTAAAAAAAAGTCGTATCGGTGTACCCGTATCGTATAGTATTCAAATTACGTATTCATATTTGTGCTTCTTAGTCATATAGTTCCCAAATTTTAAATGCAGTTGTTTGAATTCTTTCAAAGCAGAACTTAAATTTCAGAGTTTTTATACTAAATTCATTTTTATTGCAGATGGTTGTTTTCTCATGTATTCTGCACTGTACATTTACTTTCGAATTATGGAGGATGGTTTATGTGCGATTATCCTTTGTGTGGGATCACAGTGGTTCACGGTATTGTACCTGAGTTCATAATTTTAACTTGAGATGCAATATGTTAAAGGATTTTCCGAATATGCCACATCACAACTTATCGTGACTTGCTCACGAGTTACATTTTCTTGATAGAGCACTAGAAAGTTTTACGGACATGACTACATAATTTATATATGTTGATTTGGTTAGTGCCTGGCCTGCATTTGCGTGATTAAATATTTGGCCATATTTTCCAGTGTGGCTTCTTGCATTACTTTTTGTGTTTTCCTAGTACTATAGATCTTATTTATTTATTTATTTATTTTTACCTATTCTACAATTTTGTCATTTGACATGCCTTGGCTCATTGTTCTTATTTGTTTCAGGTTTTGATTCTTTTGCCTCTAGCAGGCATTGCACGACGGATTATCAAGAGGTTGATCCAGTTGACCCCTTCCAATAACAAGGTATCTATTATACTTGCATTATGCCATAAGTAACTAAGAGATCGTAAATTACTTTTCAGTCCAAACCCTGAGGGATGGCTCAATTGGTCAGGCCTTGAGTTTGTTCCCCAATGATCACTAGTTCGAGTCTCCTCAGGGCCATTGAGGCCCCGTGGAATTAGTCAAAGTGCGCGCAAGTTGGCCCGGACATTCACGGTTATAAAAAAAAAAAAAAAAAAACTTTTCAGTCCAAGCTAAACATGAATTCTGATACTTAGATTGCCTTTTGAATCAGTGCATAGATCTTGGTTATGAATATATAAATATTAATTTGACGGTTCAGCATTGGAATTGTTATTGTAGTCTCATTGACTAATTGCTCAAAGTAACTTTGTAACATTGCTTGTTGTACGACGGTTTGTTTGTTGCACCACAAGAAAGAGAGGAGATTCAGCGTGAACAATCTAGCTCAAATTGTAATCAAAATTGTGACGATGCGGCACATTTAACATTTCTCAACTGGTCTACCAATTGTTGATCCTGTTCACAAATTGGTGACACTCATGTTTATACCTTGAAATGCTGTGATATTGTCATTTCATTTGTAAAATTATGCTTGTCTTCGAACTCAAAATTTATTGTGCTTAGGCATTGCTTATGTATCTCGTTGACTGTTTCCATAATCTTCATAATAGAATGGGACTTCTAGATTGAGGTTGTTGTCGTATCAAGTAATCTGAAATGGTTGTGGATTGGTGACAGTACGATGTAGAGTGGTTTTCAGTGGGTGTTAGCGTTAATTATGAAGATTGGCAGATTGCAAGGGTTTCAATGACCCCAGAAACTCTTTTTTAGAGTTCATGTTTGTGACCTGAACTACCATGCCGATGGGTAAAGATTACAAGCTGGTTAATTAAGTTACAAACTGGGCAAGAAATTGGGATAATTCTTATGGATATATTGGATTATAACAAAGAAAGCATAGAGACTAGTACTATATTCATTGAGTAGTGGGGTTAGAGAGAGAGTAGAGACTGGTGCTAAATTCACAAGTAGTGGGTTTAGAAGAGTGACAGAGAACGACAGGAGGACTGAGTTTGGTGTTTTTTGGCATAGGTTCTCTATTAGTGTTTTCTTCTATTTCTGCAAATATGCTTTTGCAAATGGGGTGTCCTCATTAGTGCCCCA